ATATAGAAACTATTTCCGATTAATTTTAATAATTTTTAAGTGGTCCTTCATTTATTGGGGGGCACTGTATATATACTTTTTATATATTTCTGTTATACAACATAACAATAATAATATAATTAAAGAAAGCAGAAAAGCAAGATATTATAATGTTTTCTTAAATAGAAATAATTTGATATCTCTTTTCTCTTATCTTAAACTGAAGTTTTTTTTTCTTAAAATTAAAAAAAGTCTTATCTCAATTCAGTAACAAGTTTTTACTATTGATAATTATCTTAAAAAAGCATCAAACAATAATATCTTAAAGTATAAAACTTATTATAAGAAATAATTCCTTAAGAGTATAAGTCTTGTTATAAGTATCTTAAATATTTTTAATTAATAATAAAATAATAGAAATTAAATAGTTTGTCTAATTGCAAGTAGCAATAAAGGATTTATTCTTATGAAACAAAGTTGATATTAAAGAATTTTTATTTATTAGAACAAACTTTTCAACTATTTTTTTTCTTTTTTTTCTTTTTTTAAAAAAAAAAAATTTTTTTATCTCTTAAAACTACAGGTTTATGTTGAAATGACAGTTTAAATATAGACTAACTGTAATTTTTCTTAAGACTAAAGAATAGTCTTGAAAAAAAAGCAACTTTATCATTTTCTATAATTATACTTAGAAAGTTAATATTATGTAATAATGATTTAATAAATTAACTCCTTTGTAATAAAATAGTTAGTAAATAATTAAATTATGTGAATAATATGGTGATCTTGATATTAAGATTCAAGGATCATATACAAATCTAAAAATAACTTGTCAACAGGTGTTCTGCAATATGTATAGTTTAGCTTTAAATTTTGCAATATTGCATTGTTTTACATACAGTTTATATACGGTATAAAGAAACAAGGCACTTGAATCTACTACTCTGTTTAAATATAAACTTCAAGACTCGGAACTCCTTTAATTTCCCTCTATTAACCATTATCTTATTTGTAGCAACGAATGCTAACCAAATTAATCGATTTTATTTACTCTTTTCCCGTAATTCGCACTATAGTTGATCGATTCACCGCTTAACATTGTTCCCACTTAAAAGAAATTATTAAATTTCGATCATGCCTCCCAAAAATTTGTTTACTCTCTTTTTAATTTATCCATCAAGAAAAAAAGACGCGCTAGAAATCTATTCCAAATGTTTCGACTTTCATTATTTCAAGCGGGTCAGAAAAATTTTAGAAATGCTGTTAAAAGTTCGATGATGCCTCTGAAAAGTTTTAGTACTTATCAAGGTCTGGATGCAAAACTTCAGATTTCTTCGAAAATAAAGTCAGGCGCTTATTTTTTATTTTTACTTCAAAGGACCAGCCAAGTATAATTGGGAGGACCCTCTTTCTTTAGAAGAGCAGCTGACCGAAGAAGAAAGCTCCATTAAGTAAGAATTTTCGTGTTCTATATAAAAATAAACACTAAATATGTTAAAACTAGGAATATGACTCGACAGTATTGTCAAGATAAGCTTTTTCCACGGATTTTGGAGGCATATCGTCTAGAGCGTATGTCATTCAAATTGGATCGATTAGTTGAAATTCGCATTCTATGTGACAAATTCTTTTTTTATTTCAGGATTCGATCGAGAAATTATTAACGAAATGGGAGAGTTGGGTTTATTAGGATCCACCATCGAAGGATATGGTTGTTCTGGTGTTTCTTCGGTTGCATATGGTCTCATCGCTCGCGAAGTGGAAAGGTGTTTATGCAACTATGCAACTTAATTACCTTAAAATGGATATGACACGTCGAAATTGAAATTGAATATCTATTATAATATTGACCTAACTTCGTCATTTAGGGTAGATAGTGGTTATCGGTCTGCCTTAAGCGTGCAATCGTCACTTGTTATGCATCCTATATATGCTTATGGTACTGAGGCGCAAAAGAAAAAATACTTGCCTAAGTTGGGTAAATCTTGGAATATTTACCAATTCTCAAAAAGAAGAAAACAATTCTTTCTTATTACTATTAATTATTTCAATAGCAAAAGGTGAAATTATCGGCGCATTTGGGTTAACCGAACCTAATCATGGTTCCGATCCTGGCAGCATGCAAACTTTTTCTCATGAAAGAAATGGCGTTTATATTCTAAACGGCTCGAAGACTTGGATTACAAATTCTCCTATAGCTGATATTCTTATTGTTTGGGCAAAATCCAAAGAAGATAATAAAATTAGAGGATACATTTTAGAAAAGGTATAGATGATCATATTGATTCACAGTGCCGTGTTATTCGTGTTATTTATAATCTGTTAATCAAATGATCCATTTGAATCAAGGGTATGAAAGGGCTATGGACTCCTCCAATCAAAGGCAAGTTATCGTTACGGGCTTCCGTCACAGGAATGATTATGATGGATAACGTGGAGGTTCCCAAAGAGAATTTGCTTCCAAATGTGGAAGGTCTAAAGGTAGTAACGATGATTTCACTTTTTATCCACAAGATTTTCTTTTTGATTAATGAACAACCTATAGGGACCCTTTGGCTGCCTCAATAACGCGCGTTATGGAATTGCCTGGGGAGTTCTTGGGGCATCGGAATTCTGTTTAGCACAAGCTCGTGATTATGCCCTTAACCGTGAACAATTTGGTGTACCGTTGGCAAGATTTCAGTTGATTCAAAAGAAGTTCGCCGACGCAAATACTGAGGTCCGTTTTGGTGAACAAAAAATCTACAGACTAGACTGTTCGAAACGTTATTGATAACAAATCTTTATATCCAAAGATAGCACTTGGCCTTCAAGCCTGTCTTCGAGTGGGAAGACTGAAAGATGAAGGTAAAGTAGCACCGGAAATGGTTTCACTCATAAAGCGTAATTCCTGTGGTAAAGCAATTGAAATTGCACGTTCCATGAGAGAAATTCTGGGCGGTAACGGTATAAGTGACGAATATCATATTATAAGACATGAACAAAATTTGGCTACAACGAATACTTACGAAGGTAAATATTTAAATTTTCAAAGATAATTTCTTGATAGATATTTTTCACGTCGTACTAACTGATGAATATACTACTCCATTGTGAATTTCAAGGCACACATGATATTCACGCGCTTATACTAGGAAGAGCTATCACTGGCCATCAAGCGTTCACTGCGTCTTAAAATGAAATAATAGGAATATAAGTTGCCATATAAAATATGAACTAATCTTTATATTAAACCCTCACAGTATACATCCATTTTTATTATTATTTATTAATAGATTAATAAAATAAATGTCCAAAAATAAATCAAAGAAAAAATATTATCTTTTTTTTTAAAAAAAAAAAGAGCACAAATGTTCATATTTGATCATAGACTAAATGCATAAATTTTTTCATTTATGAAATAGTCAATTATAAATATACCCTAAATTTCTTCTTCTATTGGATCATCCGAAGGTATTCTACTATACCTACTGCCCGTACATCTATCTAACCAGCTCGATGGTAAAAATGATAAAGGTACAATGCATAAGGAAATCAAGCTGAATGCAAGCATTGCGCCAAGGAATCTATAATATTCTAACATTAAACCTGCTACCACAGGTCCCACAAACATCCCAATACTGTAAGCCATATTCCATAACGCATACACTTGTCCATATGCACCACCACCATTTTTGGCCACTTCTTGACCCAATAGTGGTAGTGTTGGTGTGATGGCTATAGAATACGTGGCTCCAAAGAATAAAAGAGGAATTGCTTCTATCCAAAGTTTATTAGGTAATGCGATCAATGGGGACGCCGCGGCTGTTAGCGTCATTCCTATGCCGACCATATTTCGTTGGCCAATAGTGTAAGACAGATATCCAACCAGTGGGGAGATGAAAGTTGGTACCACCACTGAAACATAGACAAGTCCAATTTGTGAAGCATCTGCATTAAATTTTTCATGCAGATGTATCGGAAGTGTAGGTTCTATGCCTATATAGCATAAAATATTAATATAAATGTGTTTGACTGTTACCCAAAAATTTCGATGTTAATTACCGGAGAACACACTGGCAGCAACAATTACAGTCAAGCAAATTGTTACGATATTATATTCTTTCATGAGACTTAGCATTGAAAGGTGACCACTTTCAGACTCCATATCCTCCAACGGCTCTCCACTCCTAATGCTTATTGCACGATCCCACTCCTTTAGATGTATTGGCTCTACGATGGTGCATACAACCAAAAAACCAATAAAGGAAAGTGCGGCACAAAAAACAAAAGGAGCAGTGGGACCCCAGTATTTATAGAGTATTCCTCCAACCAAAGGACCGGTGATAAATCCTAACGTGTTTGCAGATAACACCGTGCCCATCACAAGTCCAAGCTTACGGCCAGACCCAAATCGGTCGGCCAACATGGCCAAACTTATTGTCCTGAATAAGTGATCGTGATAAGAAAGTTAGCACAAAACTTCAAGTTTGAAAGAGTATTAAATAAATCTTTACAAACCAAGATGCACCGCCAGATGCACCCTGAGCAATTCTGGCTAGTACCAACTGCCAATATGCAGTCGAAACTCCGAATAGCAATGTACAAGTCCCTAAACTGGCCATTCCAAATAACATTGGGATCTGATCAAATTTCATGAAGTAAAGTACTAGTCAACAATCAAAACATAATCGAGGACAGTAATATCACGTCACACAAACCTTCCGAGTATGATGACGGTCGCTTAAAATCGCAAAGATAGGAGTTGCACCTAACAAACCAATAGCTAAAAAAAATTTAGATGTTTCTAAAGATAAAACGCTCACAGCTAAAGGTGGTTGAGACTCGAATCTTTACCATAACATCCGAAAAGAAATCCTATCGCTTTTGCGTCCATGCCAAGGCGCTCGTGGACCAGGAGTGGCAAAATTGGGACCACGATGCCGTATACTATCATATCTCTATTTTCGTAAAGTGAAAAGGAAAAAAATTATGTATATAAATATTCGATGAAACAATCTAATCTATCGATTTCGAAGAGATAATTCTTACAAGAAAAGCGTCACAGCTGTGACGCATATTACAGCAGCTTTAGACCTTCGAAAAATGGCAAACCGACCATACCGCGAAAAGTCGATTTGAGGTTCATTCCTGGATTCTTCTACTAACAGAGGAGTATTAACTTCTGAATTTATAGAACGGATTGATTCATTTTCCGCAACTTCATGTGATGGTATCATTATTCGAAGCTCGTTATTAGAAAATAAGAGTTGACGGAATTATAACTTGTTAAAAAGCTCTAGATATGTATTACAAGGTTAGAATGAAGTCTGGAAAAGTAGGTATCGTCATTCCCTATCATTGTCATCCACTGTCACAGCATTGCTCTTATATACGCATTAGCAAAACCTTGCGCGTGTCGACATTACGACATCTCCTTATTTAGCGTAGTGAATGATGATGATATTAAGTTGTAATGATGGTGAATCAAATGAACAAAAATACGAACAATAATATTTTCTCGAAAGTCGATAGCAAGGAGTTTAACTCCAGCTCGAAGTTTCTTGTATTGATGATAAGATTCTAGGAACTAATAAGTTGCAAATTAATGAATTGGTGTTTAAATTACATTTTATTGTGCAGGTTAAATGTGCAATCAAAAAAATTTACTTTCTTGTGATAAATTTAATAATACATACTTAATATACTGTATACATTTGAAAATATTCTATTATGATATCAAAGAAAGAAGATAATAGCATTGGTTATTTAGGTGCACGTTGACATATGCGTTATTTTTCCACATGGGAAACCTTATTCAACCCATTATGTTCATACTAATTTGATCAAATTACGGAAAAAACATCGGTTTTGTTGAACAAGAACGAAAAATCTATCATAATTTGACATTTTTCATCTATTATTACAAAAGGATACGCTAAAGACTATAATACCTCTTCCGTGTAAAGCTCAGAGATCATTAAACTGGTGTAAGAATATCGAATCAAAATATTAATGTGAAAAACCACAAAACGCGCCGTGAAACCGAATTTACGTTTCGGCGGCGGAACTTTACATGTTAATGTCTTTTTGTGGCATTTAATACTCTAAATCAATAATTGTGTTCATTTTTAAATTGAAATTTTGAAAAATTCATGCAAAATGCATTATTAGGGGCTAAACGCGAGTCTGCATCTTGCCGGCAGAATACGTCGTGTAACGATGAAAGCGATGGTTTTACTTGGTCGAGGTAAATATTTCACGAATACAATGATACAAATATGCATCACTTCTTTATTAAGTATTCTTTCCGTTGAATATATGACTTTGTATACAAATCCAAATTTAAGAAAAATACAAAAATCTTTTACAGCCGCTAATTACGTGTATAATTTTTTTGAGTAAAAACATTTCATGTCTTTACTTAAAATTATCTAAGTATAATATAAATTTTTTTTTCAAAATTATATAGTTAGAATATCTTAATAATTTAATAAATTATTTATTATTATTATTATTATTATTATTATTATTTTGCCTTTAATCAGACTGCAATTCTAAGTATTTATTAATTTTTTAAAAAACAGTAATACAGTATTATATTAAAGCTAAACTATAAGTATTACAGAATACTTGTCAACGAATTATTTTTGGATTTATATATAATCCATCAATTCTTAATATCAAGACTACCACGTTGCCTATATAATTTAGTTATTTACTAATTATCTTATCATAAAGAAGTAGATTTATTAAGTTATTATTGTATAATATTAACTATCTTAGACTTTTTAACTTTTAATTCTTTAGATGTGAACATAAAAATAATAAAATTGCTTTTTTTCAATAATCTTTTTATTATAATCTTAAAAATCAAAACCAACCTATATTTAAATTGTTGTTTTAACATAAATCTGTAGTTTTAAAAAATAAAAATAAAAATATTTTTTTAAAAAAAAAAGAAAAAAAGATATTTGAAAAGATTGTTTTAATAAATAAAAATTTTTAAAATCAATTTTTATCTATTAGAATTAATCTTTTGCTACTATTTGTAATTAAACAAATCATATTTAAAATAATAAAGTAAAGCTTATAATAGAAATTATTGTTTAAAAAAGTTATATACTTATAACTTTTTTTTCAATAAATAAATATTATTTTTTTATTTAATTTGTATATTAAAAAAGTATATATTATAAAAGAAGCAATATTTTTTATATGCAATAATAACAAATTTAATATTATTTTGCTTATACTATCTATATCTAGTTAATATTAAAAAAAAATTTCAAAATAATATTGTATGTTAAATATAACTGAAGATAGTAACTATACTTTTTTTTTTTTTTTTTTTTTAAGGTTATTCCAGTAGATAAATATCATCTTTTTATTTGATTTGTATATATCAAGATATACATCATGAAAGAAACAATATTTCTTGGATGCATTGCATATAACAAGTTAAATGCTAGCTTGCCTACTTGTACCATATTTAACTAATATCATAAAAAATTTCAAAAGCAATATTAAAATATCAAATATAGAAGTAGTGACTATACCTACCTACTCAAAAAGTTGTTTAGTGAAATCTTTTTTTTGAATAAAAATAATTGAAAAGAAAAAATTAAAAGTAACTTAAATTAAAACTTTGTCAAGTAAACTATAAGATCTATAAGTAGAAAATTAATTATTTCCTTGAGAAAACCTCCAGACGGGCTTGTTGTCTCATTTCTCCAGCTCTTCAGTTATTATAGATAGTAGAGTACACGTGATATTATTTGTTGTTAAAGTTGTTGTTGTGGTACAAAACCAGTTTGAGTTGACACAGTTTTTGTTTTGGTTTTTATACAAAATCTGATTGGATAATTGAAGAATGCTAATCATCTGAAGGGGGTAAACTGATTTCAGTTTTTTATTTAAAAATTTTTTAAATTTTTAAGGTGGCGTAGCAAATATTACCGCAAGAATATTGTGTATAAGGGTTGACTTGAAACAAATAGTAGATCCACTAACTCTGTTTGAGTATATGTTTTGGAAAGTATTTGATTTAGTGAGTATGATAGTAATAGTGTAAATGGTTTTTATAATATAATAAGAGTAAGAAGGGATGCAAGAAAACTGAAGAAAAGAGAATTGCCACAGATCTTTCCTCATGTAACCGAAAAATAAGCAAAATTCCCAAACTTGAATAGACTTTAATCAAAGGTCCCATTCCATTGTACCAGTTGTTTTGAAAGTTCTTGAGTTCTTAAGCTGAGGTTCACTTGTGATAAAGAGTGTAAAATATTTTTTCTTGTTTAAAATTTCTATAAAAAGAAAATTTTTAACAAAACAGATATGATTAGAAGAGAGTTTTTTTGTTATTTAATTATTTTATTAAATATTTAAATAATATTTTATTATAGGAATTTATTAATATATGGGTACAAAGATTTATAAAATTATTTAAAAGATTTTTAGCTTTATAACTAAAACTTACAAAATTACACTTATGAATATATCATATAATTTTATTGATTTGAAAATATGGAATAATTAATAGATTTACTTTAGAAATTTACAAAAGTTTCCATAAGAAACATGTTAAACAACTTTATTATTTAAGTAATAAAAAAAATATCGAAGAACAACTAATGCAAAATATAAGTAAATAAATCAATTAACAAACTTTTGAAATATCTAACAATATTATATATTTTTAGAATCAAAAAAAAATAATAATTAATAAAATCACACAAAGC